TAGGGAATATATAAGGTTAGCTTGGCATTAGTTTCTAGTTAGTCAGGGAAGCTATGGATTATACTGTAGACGACCTCTCCCGATATAGAAAGCCCCGACACTCTGTCGAATGAGGCCCCTATATCTTCCGTTGAAAGATGAACAACTTCTTCATCCAACTCACCCCAGCCAGGTAGGGGTACACCGTGAAGGGCGGTACTGTGAGGACACTCATGCCGCCATACCATCAACACCCACCATCAGTCATGACCCGTTTGTCCTTCTGGCAAACATCAGTTCAAGGGTAAGGGAGCCAGGCTCTAACCTGATTGAAATCAAGACGACGTGCAGGTTAGTTTCTAGTTTTAATCTTCCTCTTTGAAGATGATCACTTGGTGATCGGAACACGTGTCGAGGTGTTGAAAATAACGATTTGGTGTTGGGAAAAAACCCCAGCAATATTCATTACTACACCATAGGTTCCAAACAGTGCATCATAAGTACGAAAATTAATCATTAAATGAATTTTTTTTTACAAAATTTGGAGCATTGATGGTAATAGTGTCATAATTTTTAGATATCTATTGGTGTTGACAGAAAACTAGTTGTGAGAAAAATGTGAATAAATCAACGAATAATTCCAATTTCCAACACAACAAACATTAAACAACGATTTCTCTAAAGAGCCCATACCATGCAGCAATTAGTTTACTTGAAATGCAATGGAATCATGTTAGATTATTCAATGATTCATTTCCATTGAAAATGTATAGTTTTGATTCACAGCCATGTAATCAGATTCACAGCCACAGAAAACTAATCTTAGGTATTATTTTTTAGGGAAATGGAGGTTTTTCACTAAACGATTTACTGAGTGGAGGAAGCTTGTTAGATTCTTCGTCAAATTCAGGTCCAGTTATATTTGAAAATACCACCCCCGATAAAAAGAGTACTGAGTAATATTATACAAATATTAAAGAAATCCTCAGAGTAGATCGACTTTCATTTGTACTATGTTAGTCTCCAAAGTAAATGGATACCCTCTTCAAAATGAAGACAGTAGTGAAAGAAAAAACACTCGTTTTTTTAATAGTTCACAATATTGAATTTTTATATTAAGTGGGTTTTGATATTTAGCAGCTTTCACTGCAAGGCAACTAGTTGAAAACCAGAGCCCAAACGCCGTTTCGACCCGCTATTGGTCTGGTCAGTGCAAATGCATTGCTGGACTCAATTGTCCGTAATGGACAAAAGCCTTTGTAAGAAAGGTCGACATCTGACATTACGAAGACGCCCCCTATGGGATCGACAGAGAAACTCAATCTTTGAATATCATAGATAAACGAGGCTTTCCAAGGCGGTAAGTTGCAAAGCCAAGCTTTGACATCGACCGCTAACGGGATTCATCCTCTGTTTTTCGCTGCAGCTTTCACTGTAAGTTAATTTTAGTTGAAAACCACAATAAATAAATATACATAAGCGAAGTACAGTTTTACTGAGCACAGAGCAATTTTATTTATGTAATTCTTAAAGGTGATAATATCTCCTTTTCAATAAAATCCATACTTTGGAAAAATTCCCAGGACATCGTCTTATCATGCCGCCACACTACACTTACAGCAGTAACAGTCACTACATAATATGAAAAACAGAACACGAAACACCACTGCCGTATTGAATGTTCTTCGAGTTTCAAACGAATCATCCACAAGATTTAAATTTATTTTAATTGCCGATGGACTGCATACAAGTTTATTTCTCGTGTATAAACTATGCAATTACTTTCAAACTATCCAACTACTTTCAATATTCTGTGTTCCAGATTTTGTCTATTTCACTGTTGCAAGACTTCATAACATTATTGTCGTAGTATCAGATTTCACACAAAATCGACAGAAGGGTTGCCATTAATACATGCTTCAAATATTAGGTAACATGACAACGAATAATAATAAGAGGAAATTGTGACTATCTACTATCATCAGAAACAAAATGGTAACTTTAGATACTATGTTTGAAAGTAGTACACAATTTGTCATGGTGAATTTTACTAGTTAAGAGTTCCATTGTCTGATATAATTATTCTATTGCGATTCAAAATCTATGAAAGAACAATTAAAATCAGAATGACTAGCTAAAATATCAATTATAAGCAATAAAGCATGAAATGAAAATACAATAAAACGAATAAAATAATCAAAATAAAAGACGTAAAAAATGAAAAAGATTAAAGAGGCATGGAACAGTTAAGAACAGTCATCACCCGAAGTCGATTGTGGACACTAACAATCAAAACGTCGTAAAGTAACTTGCTTTGAAATCTTTTTAAATTATTTAAATACTTTTCTATTGCATTCTTAATTTTTTTTGTTCATTTTCATTCTTTTTTAAGTATTTATTTTTTACTCTGTGGTAATATTCATCTTTTATCTTGATTATTTTATTTGTTTCAATGTATTCTCATTTCATGTTTAAATGCTTAATATAATTGATATTTTAACTAGGTACTCATTCTAATTTTGTTTGTTTTTTCATAGATTTCAAATCATATTAGACAATGGAAGTCCGAATTAGTAAATTTATATACATTCCGTATCCAATAAGTAATAATAATGATCAATATATCACGTTCCAGTTGAAACGTCATCGAATTCACATCGAATTACTACCAAAAATTGATGTCAAAATAACGTCACTGAGTCTTGAGAATTCACCTGCTTTAAAATATGTTATCAAACGTCAAAATAATTGAAATGGCAATTCGTAATTATAATAAATTGATGGATTTACCCGTTACTACGTGGTAGGAGGTCATCATAAAAAATGGAGAAATAAACCTTCTTATGCTATTATACCACTTTGTATTTGTAACAAGAGTTTATTTTATTCGTTTGAAAATATCCTTTATAGGACGAAACTGCAGTAAAGTTAGTTACAAATACAAAGTGGTTTAAAAACATAAGAAGTTTTATTTCTCATTTTTCACACTTATAATACATTTTCAAAACGTCTCCCATCTTGTTCTGTCCATTTTCTGAATCTCTTTAAAGAGTTTGTTCTGATTCGCCTCCGATGAGAACGCATAATTCGTTGAAATGGCTCACAAATTTTCAATTCCATGTCCTCCTGTGTAGTAGTGGCAGTACGGTAGCCCTCCAATTCTACGGTTCCCCATAAATAAAAATCTATTGATGTTAGGTCCGGCAACCTCAGCGGCTAAGGAATAGGTCGTTCTCATTCAATCCGTTCATTAGGGAATATTATGTATTACATTCACCTCCTCTCGTATTTTCACAAAAAAATGCGCTAATGTGCCATCTAATTGAAGCCACGTTTCATCTTTGATGTGATAAGGTAAGTGATTGATCAACTTAGGAAAGCTTTCTCCAAAGTATCAAGGAAGCCTTGTACATTCATATTTTGTTTGGAAAAATATGGTCTGACAACATAATTATCCATAATACCACCCCATACATTGATACTCCATTTATGTTGATGGTCGGTAAAATGTAGTTCATGTGGATTTTCAGTTGATACTATTATAATGGTACTTGTACCTATGGATGATTCGGTGAACATGATGCTCCTCAGGAAAATTTCATTTTCCATAATATTATTTTCCATCGTCCGACAAAACTGTGGTCTGTATCTGCTTCTATTAGCTTCTAGTGAAGCCGCGAGTGGTCTTGAATAAAAAATTCTATTATAATTATTATCATGGATAAACCATTTGAGCTGAGTACATTTCCATGAATTCTCAATGAGTAGAATTTGGTTTCTGTACGGTCAAGATTTAAGCATTCAAACGCTTTCGAGAGGTCGCAAAAGAGAGCACATACCACCTTTTATTTTTTAGTGTCAATGGCATCGACTGCTTCGGTAATTAGTCTGTTCAGGGTAGGCAATGTTGATAACTTCTTGAACCACCTAGAGAGCACATGGTTATTCGCAGTCCATCAGCTATGTTACGTTGTAGAATCATCCCAACTTCAACTAGATGATTTCTCTCAAGAAAAATATCTGGTCGAGGTAGGGATCGAACTCACAATATTTCGATCGTGAGTCGGGCACACTATCATTGTGCTAATTCACCACTATGACCTTTCATTGATTGAGATATTGATAAATGTGCTCACAGTTGTTTCCATTGATCTACCCAGATAGAAACCATTTTGTGAGTCAATGGTTTGTTTTTGTCTGAAAATCACGTCATTCTGTTATACATGGTCCTATTCACTATCATGAAATCATTAAAAAACATTCCCCCTAAAACTCACCTAACTTCATCTCCCATACCTTGGATGATATTCATTTTTGACCTAATAACTATTTTCATTTTCATCAGTTTTTCCTCTTCAAAAGATACTTGCATTGGCTCAATGTTCAATTCTGTTTCATTTTAGCTTATTTTCTCTTTGTGATCATTTCTCTTCTCTTTCATATTTAAGAAAAAACTTCTAAACAATACTTTCATTTCATAATCACATTTTATTAGAATGAATCACATTACAGAGACTATCACTTCAATATCAAATCTCGTGCTATTTTAACTTTACATAAAATACTGTTAAAATACATATTTACATTAAAAAATATATCACTAAAGAATTATCATAAAATTTATGGCAACTTCATCAACACAGCACTTCTTTGTTCCTTATTCAAAGGCATTTGTAATAGTAGCCATTAAAATGATTCCAAATATTAAAGCTAATAGTTGTTTGAAGGACTCCTTAGGGTCTTCTTCTTTGAGTAGGTCAGGAAGAACGGTGACCAATGCGATATGAAGAAACGTCCCTGCAGTGAATGGTAAAATCCAGGAACTTCTCGCCTCTAGAATGAAATGGATGGTAAATGTTTCGTTGTTATACGGAAACAGAACTTATAGCAAATGCGCTTTTTCATTAAGGTATTAAATTATGTCAAAAAAGAATCAAACAAACTAGAAAATATTTATAATTTTAAATTCCAGTGTCTTATGAAAACATCTCTAATATATCAACTGATTTCAACTCGAAGCCACAATAAATATTCAGTAGTGAATATATAATTTTTGATATTTTTTACACTCGAGAAAAGGTTGTACAGCATATATTTCCTCTCAATGATTGGAAAATTATTTTCATCGTACAGTGATTTAATCCACAACCACTTTCTGTTTTTTTTCGACATTAACTGCTAACAGATAACTAGCTAGAGCCAAAGCCTTGAGAATCGATCGGCCAGACATCAAGGAGAAGAATGATAGACGATACAAGATACATGTCGCCCGTTAGCACACTTACAGTAAAATTATTATACACGACCATTATGTGAGAAACAGCAGGTGCTTTCGATTTGAAACATAAAGAACAGGAGACCAGGACTGGTTTCTCAAATACTGGTTTCTCGAGTGAAGTGTCCACTACGATGATCCTAAAAGATTCATTGGTGTACAAAGAAATAAAAATGTATATACAATAAAATTCTCATAATATACAAAACAGGTTATCATTCTAAATCAAGAGACATAATAATAAAAATGAAGATATAAACCAGAAACCAACAAACTTAGGGACATTGGGATTTGTATTATCATTTCAGCGATATAAACATAACGTTTTTTATGTTGAACTCAGCATATAGTTCTTATAATAATAATAATCATGAATCGTCTTTATTTCCTTTCTGTACATGAAATAGGCGAATTTTAGCCTAAGGCTATTCTTACACTTAACCTGAGTTATGGAATGATTCTTGAACGCAAGTAGTATGTTTGAATCGTAATTTATTTCACTTACGAAACTTGCTCACTAACGGCAAAAAACAACAACTCTATGTAATGACAAAATATATCGAATATTTGCTATCATCAATATAAATAGAAAATAATGAAGACCCTAATGATGAGCTTTGTATAACCCCCGTTTCAGCTTTGTTGTCACTGAACTGAATTAAATCTAGATTTAAATTGTCGTATTTTCCCATTTTAGACAACGTCAAATTGATATAACTTGAATGTTTTGATTAGTGTCCCACCAATTTTGCAACATCCAACCATTTTTGCAAAAATAAAAAATGTTGTCTCTTTTCCCTTGACTTGTGCAAAACTTTTGATCCAGTTGACCATTATATATTGTTGAAAATTTTTTTTTTGAAATATTGAAATCAGAGGTAATTTTCTCCAGTTCTTTCAAAATTATTTGTATAATAGAAGACGTAATGTTTATTCAGGGTGTTAATTAAGTATGTACCATGAATT